TATATATATATATAAAGCTTTTATAGATAAAAATTCAATTCTTCTAACCTTCTAGCTAATCTAGGCTTCATAGAATCCCGCAAATAACATCCTAAATTAAAAGACAAACCTGATTATTGTTTGACCAAAAAATATTAATCCTTGGTTAAACTAATTAATAAGTTATCAAGACGGTGTATTGGTCTAAATTTGGACGGCTTGATAACTGCAGATAAACAGGGTTAAGGACGGGGTCGACTACGGCATAACAGCAAGGAGTCATCTTCAGAAGGATTATCGCTAAGGACGGATCAATAGAATAAAGAAGCAACGGTAGGATAGATTTAGAAATAGACATAAGGAATATTCCTTTGGCTATTCCTTAGGTTGTACTTTTTAGGGTTTCTTGGGGATATCCCTTGTAAATAGGAAGAGATAGAGAACAAATGAGGAATCTTCACTTCTTGATAAGAGCACTTTGTAAAGAGTTGACTTGAAAGGATATACAAATATTGTCTTGTTCACTGACTACTTTGCTCAACATACATTATTCATTCTTTGTTCACAAGATCCAAAGATTCCTTACCCATCTTTACTTATCTTCATCCCACATTGCTGTCAGGAAGAAGAATCACCCAAGCCGTCTAACATTTGGGTGATAAATTCCTTTTTATTATATTTATTGCCATTGTCTATATTTATTGCATGTTCTTATCATAATATTCATTGATAATCATTGAACACGTGCCTGATCTTTATTACTCTCAAACGGGTTTTATTCCACGGATCTGTCCAAGTTTTTTGTATAGATCGCATTATATTTAACTAGGATTCACCCTCTATCTTATTATTAATTAGTTCAACGAAAAGATTAACACTTTTTGATCAAACAATTTGGCGCCGTCTGTGTGGACTTTCAAGTTAAAATTTTAGTTCTTTCTAGATATGAAAAAAACAACAACATCATCCACCTTTTCCTAGTTTGCACGAACTAACAATGGCAGGAAAATGAGATGAAAGACTGAAAGCAGTAGTAGACGTCACCACCAACCTCTCGAACACCATCAACGAGGTTGACAGAGAAGGCGAAGAGAACACGACGCCGAGTGCTACACCCAGGCAGAGCGACTCACCTCCCCCTCATGGAAGTGTAACCGCTTCACGTGAAAGGGGAGCCTCCACATCCACAGCTGAAAAAGCACCGCCAACAATCAAAAAACTATTGGAAACGTGACTGACGAGCACTATAAATGACATACTCGACAAACCCGCTCAACGGGCAAATAGAAACGTCATACAAACGGATATCACAACAATCGCTGACGAGCGACCCACTCCCCCAACAGGTAACACTCACACCGCTGTTGATGCACGTAACGATGCACTTGCCGCCATCCTAAAGAAAATGGAAGAAATGGAGAACGAGAATAAATCACTCCGCGACCAAATGAAGGAGCATAAAGAAAGGGTCGATAAGATACCGGGCGCCCCGAAATTACTACCAAAGCGGGACATCGGCCGATTCATCGAACAACCACACAGCGAGGAGGCAGCCCCACATGCCATGCCCAAACCTTCAAGATGCCACCATATTTGAAGATATATGACGGCACGACAGATCCCGATATCACATCATTCATTACGTTAAAATAGTAAAAAGGCAACGACCTCTCAAAGGAGCAAGTACCATCAGTGTTACTAAAGAAGTTTGGCGAGACCTTATCCGGGGGAGCCTTAACCTGGTACTCACAATTACCAGCACGATCTATAACAACGTTCGAGGAAATGGCCGACAAGTTCGTCACTGCCCACGCCGGGGCTAAGAAGGCGGAAGCCAGGGTAAATGATATATTCGCCGTTAGGCAATTGCCTTACGAGAGACTCAGGGACTTTTTAGCTCGGTTTAACAGAGTAATAATGAGCTTACCAAATGTATCGGAAGGGATGGCGGTGACAGCTTTCAAAAATGGTTGAACAGGAATAGGTCAAGAGCGACAAGAAAACTATTAAGTAGACTCATGAAATACCCTCCTACCACTTGGGAAGATATTCACAGTGCTTTCTTGCGCCGAGGTGAGAGCGGACGAAGATGACCTTAACGGTCCAATCCAACGGTTAACGTCGGTCCAAATAGAGCCAAGGAAAGACCATCGTAATGACGGTCGAAGAGAGCAGTCAGGTCCACGCCTCAACCGAGACAGGCACCAACCATATGTCAGAACAACCATTCCACCATCTCCTCGCCATGCGGAAGGACCGTCCAGGCCGCATACAGGGACTCAGCGGAACGAAAGAGGTATGCCTCCACTTTTATTTGCTCACAATTTTGTGTTTCCCCTTCAGAAATAGTGTACGCACTAGAGAAGCTCGCCCGAAGGTGAAGTGGCCACAGAAGATGAAGTCCGACCCAAGTACCAGAAAGTCGAATGTCCTCAGTGAGTTCCATCATGAGCGGGGCCACAAGACCGAGGACTGCATAGCCCTACGGCAGAAGTAGTGAACATGTTTCACCAAGGGCACCTGAGGGAGCTGATGAGTGACCGAGGATGAGCCAACTTCGGCGGCGGACGAGAACAACACCTAGGCCCACCAAAGCCACCCTCCACTGCCCGCACCATCCAAATGATCATCGGTGGAGGCGACAAAGCAGCAATCAACCACGTAAAGTTTACCACTACACATAAACTGAAGCGATCAATCACCCACGAACGATATGACGACCTCGAAGAAAGTATCATCTTCGATAAGTCATATACCAACGGTTTGACTTTTTCTCACTTCGATGCTCTTGTCATTACTTTACGTATTTCAGATACTGATGTAAAAAGAATAATGGTAGACGACGAAAATGGCACGTGTATTATTCGCCCTCGAGTTCTCGCACAAATGCGGCTCGAGGACAAGATAGTACCACACTGCATTACACTAATAGGTTTTAACAATGTAGTTGAGCGAACCTCAAGAGAAATAACGCTGCCCGTTCTGGCCGGGGGCGTCACCCTAGAAACAACGTTCCATGTCATGAACCAGGATATAGGTTATAACGCCATCATAGGATGACCATGTATACTCGTCCTGAGAGC